CATTGATATGTAGTTCAAAGCACCAAGAATATGTAACAGTTATAACAATTCCAATTCTAAACTTATATTGCCTAATACAGGCTTAGTATTCAAAATGTATAAAACAAAAAGTGAAGGAAGTGATTTGATGAAAGGGGAAGGGGCACATTACAGATCAGGCTGCCAACAACTGAAGCCAGTGATCAATCTTAGCCTTATGAAAAGAAACAAGCAAGCCTCATGTATATTCCAGATAGAATATCAACAACACCCAGGAGGTATTCTTGCCAAAAATTTGGACCTCAATCTGATCAAAGCTCTAGATAGCTCATAGGAAATATAGAGTACAGAGGAACAAAGCATAACCAAAGGATTATAATCAGTGAAACTTTTAAAAAAGATTTTACTTATTTGACAGAGAGCACGAGAGAACACAAGCAGGGGGAGCAGGAGAGGGAGAAGCAGGCTTCCTGCTGAGCGGGGAGCCCCGTGGGGGACTCGATCCGGGGATCCGGGGATCCTGGGATCATGATCTGAGCCGAAAGCAGCTGCTTAACCCACTGAGCCACCCAGGCGCCCCTCAGTGAAACTTAAGAAAGTGGAAACCTCTATAGGAAAATGGGCCTAGTGTCCTTATTTAAAGTGGGGGGTCGGGGGGGGGAAGGATAAACCTATACATTAAAATAGATGGAGGACACTGTCTAGCCTGGGTTCAAAGTGCAAATATTTTATGTGAGCGTGTGAATCCAGAGATACAGGAAGTAAAACAGCGAAGGAAAGAGTCCGTGTAAGGAAAGATTATGGATCAGGAAACTGCTCGCTCCTGTGGGATCCTCTGAGGAGCCATGTGAAATGCATTTCAGAAACATCCGTAGGGGAGGAGGGATATAGTTATTGGCTCACATTCCCCACTGGTCAAAGTTTGCCCCCGGGGCATTTACAAGCACTTCTGGGTTTTTGCGCATGTGTGAAGAGCAAGCAGTTTCCTGCACTGTGAACAGAGAACCCCGGGGACAGGCAGGGACAGGCATGTGAGGGCTGGCAGGTTATACTTGTGTGGACCAGGCTGAAGGTCCCACACAAATGGCCAGGGCAGCAGTGTCTAAAATAACAAGATCTGAAATGGTACACAAGAGGTATCAAAGTGTGATGTGTGGACCTTGTTTGGATTCTGATTTTAACCGATTATGAAACAATGTATTTGAGACAATTGGGGAAATTTAACACTGGATATTTGAGGGCATTAAGCATTATTATTTTTTAAAGATATTATAATGGTATAGTGGTATTTAAAAGAAGTATCGTTATTTTTTAGAGGTACATACTGGAGTATTATAAAAAACACAAATATTAAATATTAATGGGAAAAGATGGATATAACTACAAGGAGAAATTGCCAAAATCATCAGAATGAAAGATTTTAACATTCCTCTTTCAACAACTGCTGAATCAGACAATCAGTTACACAGAAGATCTGAACAAATAATAAGCTTATTTTAATGGACATATAAAAATACTTCCCAAACAACTGAAGAATATGTATTCTTTTCAAGCACATATTGAACATATCCAAAAACTGACCACGTACTAAGCTATCACGCATATCTCAACACATTTCAAACGGTAGAAATCATTCAGACCACATTCTCTGACCACAGTTCAATTAAGTCAGTAACAAAAGGTAAGTTTAAAAATATATATATTTGGAAAATTTCAAAACATCCACATAAGTCATACATCAGAACATCATAATGGAAATTACAAGTCAGAAATATATGAAAATGGAAGTAATAGATAAAAAAACTGTGAGATACAGATGAAACAATAATTATTTTTTAAACAAGCAGATGTGAGAATCCATTTGTCTTTTTTTTTTTTTAAGATTTATTTTAGCGGGGAGGGGCAGGGGGAGAGGAAGACAGAGTCTTAAGCCGACTCTGCACTGAGCACGGAGCCCAACGTAGCGCTTGGTCTCATAACACTGAGATCACAACCTGAACAGAAACCAAGAGTCAGACACTTAACTGACTGCCGCACCCAGGCACCCCCAGATGAAACAATAATTAGATGGAAACTTGTATCCTTTAGTGTATATATTGGACAAGAATCAATGCTGAAAACTATTGAGCTAAATATTCAATATAAGAGGTAAGAGAACAACAGAAAATCTCAAAGACAATAGAAGAGAAGTTCCATTTCTGGTAACATGGAATGTTATTTGGGCCAATCTTCCTACTGAAAACAACAAAGTGTTGGCTAAAATATTTTTAACAAATGAAACCGTCTTCTAACAAGCATAAAACCGCTGTCATATTGTGGGGTATTACCCTCCTAACATTATTTTCCTGCATCATATTGTGAAAAATTTCAAACATACACAAACTGTATAGTATGATGAATACTGTATACTCACAAGTTAGATTCAATGGCAGTTGAGCCATTTGAAAGTAAATTGCTTGACATTATGACAACTGACCCTAAATACTCTTCAGTATGCATCTCCTGAGAATTAGAACATTCTTCTGTATAACCACAGTACCATTATAAGACCTCAGACAATTAATAGTAATTCCTAATATTATGTGATATCAAATTCAAAGCTTTGTGGTACTTAGACTACTGTATATTAGTACTTATTTTGAAGCTGCAATAATATAGGGAGATTTTGGTAAAGTGTAGACAAGTAGACCATGGTACATGATAAGGAGTCTATAATGATATCCATACGTATTTGGACACTTGATATATCAGTAGAAAAAGGAAAGTTTTCAATCAATGGTGCTAGGACAGTTGGATATTAAAATTGAAAACACATACATTAGGTCCCTAACTTTATACCATATCCAAAAGTCAGTTCTACTAGATTAACATTCTGAACGTAAACCTTTTAGAAAATAATATACAGATTACAGAAACAAATTGCAGAAAACAAAATATATGGTATATATATTTATGACTGTTGGTAGGAAATGATTTCTGAAAGAAGACACAAAGTGCACAAACCATAAACAAAAAGATGGATACATTTGACACTAAATAATTTTTGTTAATTTATGCTGCCATCTGGAGAAGATATTTATAGCATATACAACCAAAAAAAAACCTGTTATACAAAACATGTAAAGAACTATAAATCAATGAAAGAAGCACTCAAAATGGGAGAAATTTGTGACCAGACATTTTGCAGGAGAGGGAATAGACATGCTTAATAAAAATGAAGAAGTGTTCAGTGTCATTAATTGTTAGGGAGATACAATTAAAACAACAATGTTGGGGTGCCTGGGTGGCTCAGTTGGTTGGATGTCTGCCTTTGGCTTGAGTCATGATCCCAGGGTCCTGGGATGAAGCCCCACATTGGGCTTGGTTAGGCATCTGCCGTCAGCTCAGGTCATGACCCCGGGGTCCTGGGATTGAGTCCCAAATTGGGCTCCTTGCTCAACAGGAAGCCCGCATCTCCCTCTGCCTGCCACTTCCCCTACTTGTGCTCTCTCTCTCTCTCCCCGACAAATAAAATCTTAAAAAAAAAAAATCTTAAAAATAAAACAACAATGTTGGCAAGCATGAAAAGTGGAAAATTTGAAATGTTGGTAACAATATGTTTTATACTGCTGCTGGGAGCACACTTTGGAAAATAATTTGACATATAGAAAGGAGAACACTCACATATCATATGACTGAGCAATTCTACACATCTATCCATACCATAGAAGAGTTTCCAGCCCACCAGAAGAAGAGGTATAAATCCTCTGTAGCACCCCAGACCTTCTAAATCAGAAGCTCTGAGGATGGGGCCAACAATCTGTTTTACAAGCTTTCCAGGTGACTTTAACATACATTAAATTTCAAGAACAAGTGTCCTAGAGAAACTTGTTTAAGGTCACATATATTTTTTTAAAGCTTTATTGATGTATAATTACATATCATAAAATTGTTTTAAGCATGCCCTAGAAAAACACTTGCACCAAGAGAGATGTACATTAGACATTCATAATAGCAATGTTTATAATAACAAAAAACTGGAAACCTAATGTCCATTACAGTAGAACAGATAAGTAAATTTTACATAATTGCTTGATTACCATTCAGAAATGAACAGGATATCTAATACAAACATCAACATCCATGAAGCTCAACAACAATTTTCAAAACAAATCCTATAAAGTTAAAAAGCATGTAAAATTAAACATGAGATTTAGGAACAAATTTTCTATAAGAAATAAAGGAAATATTAGCAAAAAAATTACTGGTATTGGCTCTTTTTTAAAAGATTTTATTTATTTATTAGAGAGAGAGAACACAAGCAGGTACAGGGGCAGAAGGAGAGGGAGAAACAGACACTCTGCTGAGCAGGGAGCTCAACATGGGGGGGGGTGTTGATCCCGGGACTCCGGGATCATGACCTGAGCTGAGGGCAGACAATTGACTGACTGAGCCACTCAGGCGTGCCATGGCATTGGTTATTTCTTAAGCTGAATGATGACTACGTGGATGTTCATAAAAATATTGAAAACCTAAACTGCGCATATATGTTGTATATGTGCTTTTGTATGTATAATAGAGTTCAAATAAAAAGGAGAGAAATTGATTTTGTCTAAGCAGGTGTTTGGCTCTGGTCACTCATACATACGGTTGATCAAAAGAAAGAAAAACAGGGTGCCTGCGTGGCAAGTTGGTTGAGTGTCTGATTTGGTTTCTGCTCAGGTCGTGATCTCCTGGTCATGGGATCGAGACCTCCTCTGGGCTCTGTGCGCTCAGTATAGAGTCTGAGTCTCTCTCTCCCTCTCCCTTTGCCCCTGCCCACCTGCTCTCTCTCTCTCTCTCTAAAATAAATCTTAAAAAGAAGAAAGAAAAAGAAAGAAAGAAAGAAAGAAAGAAAGAAAGAAAGAAAGAAAGAAAGAAAGAAAGAAAGAAA